GCACAGCTGCAACAAAAGGTTGAAACCCTTGAGAATTTCAACCAACAGCTTATGCAACTATGGAGAGAAGATAATCAGTATGCTAACCAGCGTGCTGCTCAATTTGCTACCTTTACAGAGTCACAAAATTTTTAAATAATCCCAGGCAAGATGAAAAACTACCTGAGAACACAGACATTAATGACTTTACCCTAACTCCTAGACATGTGTATGCTATTGATACTCTTATCTCTTATGAAGAGTATGTGACCTTAAAAGAAATATCAGTAAATATTGGACCTCTCTCAGAAGATAACAGAAGAAGATTTAGACAACTCTTAGAAGAATTTGCAGACTTATTCGCATCAGATATTAATAAACTAGGACGAACTAACCTAGTTACCTATCGAATTTATACCGAAGATGTACCTTCTATTAATTCTCGACCTTATTCGATACCTCCTAGTGAACAAGCATTTGTGAAAGAAGAAATACAATGTATGTTAGACAATAAGCTAATACAACCATCGAATAGCCCCTGGACCTCACCTATTGTATTAGTATGAAAGAAGAATGACAAATTACGTTTCTGTGTAGACTACAGAAAGCTAAATGGCATAACTAAGAAAGATGCTTACCTATTGCCTCGAATTGATGAGATGTTAAACACTCTCGCCGGATCTCATTGGTTTTCTACATTAGATCTTGCTAGTGGATATTGGCAAGTAACTATGCACCCAAAAGACCGAGAAAAGACTGTATTTGTTACTCACTATAGAACTTATAAGTTTAATGTCATGCCTTTTAGACTGTATAATACTCCTACAACCTTCCAATGATTAATGGACCGAGTTTATGACAAGATTGTATGGAGATTCGTAGTAGTATACCTAGATGATACTATTGTGTTTTCCAAGACCTTTGATGAACATTTACAACATCTCCGTGAAGTCTTTACTAGAATCAGACGTGCCGGATTACGACTAAATATAGAGAAATGTAATTTTTGGATGCAAAGATTACTATTTCTAGGACATATCATATCTCCTAAAGGAATTGCCCCAGACCCAGAAAAAATCGAAGCTGTTCAACAAATCCTACCTCCTAAGAATGTAACTCAGTTACGATCTTTTCTAGGATTAGTAGGATACTATAGACAATTTATTTGCAACTTCTCTGCGATTGCAAAACCCTTGAATCAGCTGCTACAAAAGGACGAATCCT